TGTTGGTGGGAGAGTCTATAAAATAGGGACAGTAATCCCTACATGTAAAGATTAAATGAGGTAAAATACATAAAAATGCTTAGCACAGTATGTGGCATTTGGAACCTCATTTTATAGGTGATGATAGATCGTTTTTTTTAACGTAGCATAAGAATCAATAAAATAACATGACATTTTGGCAAGAGGCCTGGCTCAGGAGACAAGAAACCTGAAAAGCTATCTGACCACTGGCCAAGTCAGTTTGCAAACTGTCACGGGCCCACAGGTGTTGCTCCCCCAAAAATTAAAACCATATTTTTTTTCTCCTGCTGCAAAAAGTAAGAGAATGGGTAGTTCTTTCATATAAGCCTCAAAAAGATATTTCTGGGCTCCTAACACAGAGAAACTGGTTTTTCCCTTTGACAGTTGCCGCGATGTGGATTTCTGGGCACAAGGAATGATGTGGGGCCGCTCTCTCCTTGGCTGCCCTGCGGTCCTGGGAGAACTTGCTCGTGTGCCTGCGGCCGGGCTGCTGCTTCTCCGAGAGGGGCAGCTGGCTCTTCCCCTGATCGCACTTACCCTCCTCGTGCGGCGTCTCAGCCGTGGTTGCAGGTCCTTCTGCTGCGTTCGCTGCAGAGGGGGTGGGGGAGACCTGGGTAGCGGTAGGCTGCAGGACCCCACAGAGAGGAGGGTGAGTCCACTGGGTGAAAAGGCCTCAGGACGTTCAGGCCCAGGAAGGAGTAATGGGTTCATCATCCATACCGGGAGGAACTGCCAAAATACAGAAACCGTTTCATTAGTGACGTGGAAGAGATGGCCGCAGTGCTAGGACGCTGACAGCAGGATGGTCTGTGCTCGCGTGGGTGTCGTCACCAGGGACCCTTGGTCAGCCTTCTGGCCCAGCACACAACCAGGCAGTGCGTGTCAAGTGTGCTCTCAGTGCCAGAATGGGCGCCTGAGAGGCCTGCCGCCAGAAACAGGGTGAGGAGGTGGCAGCCACCCCCGCGTGATGCCCCCCAAGCGAGGTGTCGTGCTCACAGAACTCCCGTGGCATCCTGGAGACCGTTTGAAGGGCCTGCCCTGCTGTCTGGGGTCTGACTGTCTCTGGCGTGGTTCACCTTCCTCGTGACTGTGTCTGGATTCCGAGAGACACATTGGGACACACGGTGGAGAGCCGGCCTGGATGTGACGAGTGAAGCCAGTGATGGAGGAGCCCTGCCCTGGTGGGCACACTCTCAGGGGTGGCCAGCAAGGAGCCGGTGAGGACCGATCGGAGGTCTGGAAAGTGGGCGGACGGGAGCGCGGCAGGAGCTCACCAGCGGCGAGAGGGCTTCCTGAACAGGGAAGAGGTGTGTGCACATGGGTCAGAGGACACGGGCTTGGTTCCTGTTTTGCCGTTATTGATGATGTGAGCTTAGCAAAGCCTAATCCTTTGGGCCTGTATTTCTTCACCTGTCAAGTGAGTGGAATTACTGTGTGCCAGCTGTGGAAGTACTGCTAGTTGCTGCTCTGTGTCCATTCTCTTCCTTTTCAGTTATTTGTTTGTTTGTTTGTTTATTATTTTTTAATGTTTATTTTTGAGAGAGACAGACAGAGCAAAAGTGGGGGAGGGGCAGAGAGAGAGGGAGACAGAGAATCCGAAGCAGGCTCCAGGCTCTGAGTTGTCAGCACGGAGCCCGACGCGGGGCTCGAACCCACGAACCACGAGATCATGACCTGAGCCAAAGTCAGACGCTCAACTGACTGAGCCACTGAGGTGCCCCTTCTTTTTCATTTATAAGCGAATCCCATTTATTTGGGTGCAGCATTATGCCCCGTAAAATAATTTCATAGCTTCCCTTGCAGCTAGGTGTGGCCATGTGACTAAATTAGGGACTTCCAGGAAAGTTGTTCAAAGGGTCTGCCTCATTGCAGGGGGTAAGGGGAGGGAACCTTTCCCTTTCTTCCCCCTTGTTGCCTGGAGCCCCAGTAGCTCTCTGGCACCATGCAGTGACCTTGAGAATGGAAACCAGGTCTAGGATAATAGAACGGAAAGGTAGAAGGAGCCAGGACCTTTGACAGCTTCATGAAGTGGCCCTACCACACCTGGATGACTTAGCTTTAGTCTTCTGTGTGTTCAAACCATTGTTACCTTACATCTTCTGTTCTATACAGCTGGACCCAACCCACATGGATGCCCCTGCCCCCTAGGGTTGTTGTAAGGTTTAAACAAGCTAAAGCATAGCAAAGCGTTTTGTGAGTTGGGAAAGCACTTTGCACGTTGCTATGTGCCATAAAAATACAAGGAATCAGTCCTGTTATTGCCATTGTCATTTGCGTAAACCTAAGGGGCAGGCTGCGGTGACCAGGCCCAGACAAGCTGGCTGGGCCAGGGGCACCAGTGTGTGTCAGAGCTTGGCATGGGGATGGGGGCTGCAGGCAGTGGAATAAAACCTTTGTTACTTTTCCTTTGGGGGAGTGCAAGCGGGGGAGGGGCAGAGAGGGGGACAGAGGATCCAAGGTGGGCTCTGTGCTGACAGGCTGACAGCAGTGAGTCTGACGCGCGACTCAAACTCATGAACCGTGAGATTGTGACCTGAGCAAAAGTCAAACGCTCAGTTGACCGAGCCATGCAGATGCCCCTAGTTTTCCTAATTTTACACTGAATCCATAGGTGTGGCCTGGGCTCAAATGTGAGAAAGAGGGAGAGAGTGGTTGGGGGAGGTAAAGAGTGAGGGCAGATGAGATTAGAAACAGGGGCCCCCACAATTCTGGTGAAGAACCTCAGAGTGAGCAGTTTGGAAAGTTGAGCCGTGAGAGCGTTCGGGTAGACTAGTGGTCAGTGTATCACTATTTTCAGAAAACACCTGTGACTTCTGCCCAAAGAGGACTGTTTTCTCCAGCTGCCATTCCCAGGGCTCTCTGAAAAAAGCCTCCTGGTGAAGAGCAGAGACCTGGCGTCAGTCTCCGTGTTGGTGAACAAAGCCAGAATGTGGTCATGCCCCAAATAGGAAGCAGGGCTTAAGCTTTTGCAGATAAAAAATCAAGTTTCTAGCAGACCCCAGAGAGCTAGAAGCTGTGGAGAGGCCAGCGGGGGCCACGGACATCCATGCCATAGAAAGGAAAGAAAGGCGGATGTTCTGCTTTCCAAATCCAAAATTCAGTTTCCTCTGTAGATTAAAATTCGTAAAGATACATGAGCTATAATTTCATATTGGCAATAGAAGTGAGAGGAAAATTGAGACCAGGTGTTATATGTGTTGTCGTATATTATATACGTCCCTAAAGTTTTTCAGCCAAGTTGGAAATAAATTCTGTCCTATCCTAAAGGATATGATTTATATACCTAGTCACCAAAGGCACTAGGGGTGAGGGAGGAGGCTCATGTTACACTGTTGCTAAAGCAAAAACTCTGCCTTTTCATAATAATTTGTTTTGTTTTGTCCACAAAACAGGAGCTGACAGTTATAAAAAATGTGAGCGCGGAGCCATAGCTCACACTCACTTTTCTATGCTTAATTTTGAGAGGGGGTGAGTAGGGCTGGAAGAAAGAATTTGTTGTATAGCTAATGCATAAAACTGACTGTGGCCATTAATTTCAACCTCTTGGCCCCCAAACCTTTTACCAGAGCTGCTAACAGGTTGTATAAATCACTCGCAGGAACCTCCATCGCTCCCCTCCCAGGGAGGTAGTGGTGCTGCTGATGTGGAAAACAGAGATCAGCCTGGGGAGAGTCAGGGACTTCCTGGCTGAACAGCGTCTGCAGGGTCCAGCCAGGCCTGCGTGTCACACCCTGGGAGGGAGGCGGGAGGGGGGGGGAAAGGGTGGGGGGTGTGAAGAGCAAGATGGGCTTTAGAGCCCAGCATTCCCTGGTGAGTCTCAGCCCTGCCACTTTCCAGCTGTGTGATCTTGATTACCATACTTCTTCATTTCCTCATTTGTCAAGCAGAAATCATAATACCAATCTCAGAGCATTTGGATGATTAAATGATTATAATACATTTTGTGCCTGTTGGCTATTGTCATTGAAAACTTCCTCTCAACTTTTGTGGCGTGAAACTCTTTTTTTTTTACCTCCCCTGAAGTTTCTCCGTTGGCCTCTGCTCAGTGGAAGGGAACTCCAATAGTTTTTCAGCTCACTGAGGGTAAGGGTCTTGAGGGAGGTGGTTGTGGGAGGTGGGAACCCCTTCTCTGTCCACAGAAGCCCCAGCCACTGTACCAGGGTGCTCTGGAGCTGTCTGATGTTTTCATCCTTGATGTGGCAGCATTTCATATGTTTAAAGATAAGGAGATTTTAAAAGGGCCTCAGGGACGTCTGAAGGCATTTCAGACATCTGTGTGTGAAGGCACACACGGAAACCCGTGTGTGATGGATCAAACGCACTGCTGGGTGAGGAAGTCTGTGATCTCAACTCTGATGCTTCCTCACTAGGTTGCCTTAGACAAGTCGCCCATACTCTCTCTGCTTCTGGTTTCTCATTTGAACACAGGAGGTCCTAATGGCTGCCTGGCAGAAGTGAAGCAGAGGTTCATGAGCTGGCTCAGTAAGTGTAAAGCCCTCATCATGGCCTGGCACACGGATACCATCTCTCTGCTCCTCAGGAGGGACCGTGTGACCAGGCTGGAGGAGCCCCAGGAGTCTGTACCCAAGGCCTTGGACGCTTGGCGTGTCCCACCTTCATTGGTGGCAGCTCTCCCCATAGTTAGCCTGCCGTCCTGCAGCTGGGCCTTATGCCGCGAAGGGAGTGGAGAGGGGGGCTTTGAGGGACAGGGAAAGGCCCAGCTGGGAAGAGACCCAAGTTCTCTGTTGGGTCTGAGAATCACCACAGCCACTGTCAACTACAGACGCCCTCAGGGGCACCGCTGGGGTCTGTGCATTGTGGTGGCCAGTCTTCCATCACAGCCCGAGACCCTGTGCAGCAGGAGCAGCCAGTCTGGCGTGGCTGGTGCGGCACATCAGGATTGGGCCTGGGCCGTGGGCCTCTTACCATTGGGGAGGGGGGGGGTCCCTACCCCTCTCAGTGGCCTTTGGCTCCTGCAGGCCAGATGTGCCTCCGAGGAGCCATTACGAAGCACCAGAGGAGGATAAAACAGGTGGCAAATTGTTGCAGTGTTTCCAAGCAGACAGTGAGAAATCAAGCTTCCTTTCCAGGCAGCTGCTTCCAGATTCTCCACCTCATGACACCTCACAGACTCGGGTTGCCACAGTGTCCCCTTCTCCCTGAACCCTCTCCTGGCTAATGGAAAGCTAGGGGTGGTGTTCTGAGGTGAAAGCCCTCTGATGTGTTATAAATATTTATCTCTGGAAAGCTCTGAAGCTTTTTCAAGACAGAAGGAGAAAGGAGGCACTTGCACAGTCGACCTGCCCCCTCGGAGAAGGCCCGTTCGTTGTGCAGGATGGTAGGCCCAGTGCTTACCCAAGTATGTCTGTCTTTTCATAATTCCCTGATCTATTTTGTCGTGTGTTGTTCTGTGTGTGTTAGGATGCATCTACCAGGAATTACTTCTGGGGCTAGGAGAAGGGAGGGGAGTGGAAAAGAGGCTTCTTTTCCCCTTTTGTTTGTTTTTGGGTATCATTAATTACTCACTCTGGGTTGTAATTCCATCCATGGTCAGATGACATGCCTTGTGACTGGTTTAATTGAAGGCTGATGATGAGCTGTCTCAAGCCTTTCCACAGGGGAATGTTGTCTTGGGAAGCGCCCAGCTGGTTCTAAGGCCGCGCATGTTGTCTTCTGCCGTGCACTGGAGCAGAGGAATGGACCCTCTGGCTCAGCCAGGCTGTGCTCGGGGCCTCAGGCGCCAGCAGCCGGGTTGGGCCTCCTGAACCCTGAGTACAGTCACCTGGGCAGTCAATTACTTCCTCCGTGCTCTCCAGGGCCAGGGTGGTCATGATGGTAATGGTCTAGGTCTTGAAAGCTGCATTTTTAGCCAGCACTTCTAGTCCCGTCTTTCCTTTTCTAACCTGTTAGAAACGAGTGGCACCATTTTGTTAGCCTGCAATGGGAGCATGAGAGAGTGAGGTGAGTGGATGTGGCCCCTTGTGAAGATGATACCACTACTTTACCCCCTTGAAGTTCAAGTGGAAAAAGGTCTCAGACCAAAAATCCCACCTAGATCCTTAGCATCCTTTCCCACTTTGAGCTGACATATACTAGTGGCTCCTGTCTTATTGTCAGATGTTTATCAGTCCTGTGGTTGGGGGTTTCAGCCAGGACCCCTGAACCGCCTTCTATACCCAGGATACAGCAATTCTTCCATTTCCTGAAATGGCCCGGGTCAGCCTGTCTGATCTCTTGCCAACAACCGTCCCCCATGGAAACCAGTGTTCAAAGCCCTGAATGCTGATCCATGAAGGGACACTGCTGGGAGTTCCTCTGCATTCTGTCATCTACTGAGGGGTCTGGCCAGCCTGCCTCAGCCCTGGTGCTCATCTGAGGATCATGTTCCTCAAATCCCTCATGCCACACAGGACTTTTCCTAACACATGGGCAAGCTTCCTTCTATCTGAGAAAATGATGCACTTCAGTTCTTGGTTTTGTGATTAAACACATACATGACAAGATTGGTAAGTTTGAGGGGCTGGTTGGATGGCCCATCTTCCAACTAACTGGATGTCGCAGCAAACATGTTTCCAGGAGTGAACAGGTCCAGCTAGAACAGAAGATGACTGGGTGGTGGACCAGCGGAGGTGGGGGGACGTGTTTTACTACTGGCTGTTGTAGTTCTCACACTAGGCACTGAGCTTGTGTCTCCATGGGTGACTCCTGGTTGTTAAGTCAGGCTTCTGCCTCCCTTTGAATGTGCGACTCAAGGTGTGTTCTTAGAGAAATTTAAAGATTTGTTGGCTTTGGTTGTTTTCTGACATCCCTGCCTGATGTTAATGTGAGAATATGGAGAGCAGTTTTCCAAAAGCTGGCTATAAAGTATGTGGATCATGGAGGTCTCTTCTTTCTTTAGCTGCGACTATTTATCTTCAGGTTTACATTTTCATGGTATGATATGCACATCCTCCATGAGCTGCTTGTATTGGGTGCCTGGCAAGTCTTGCGCACAGCCCTTCGGGCCATATTATTTTGGCCACAGTGTTTTCTGCTCTTGAGTTTATGGCCCAAATTGGGAGTGGGTAGAGGGTGGGGGGCACTAATTGACATGAGAGCATCGGCTAGGCAATCAGAAGACCTGAGTTCTGGGACCAGCTTTGCCACTTAGCTCAACTGTGTGACCCCTGACAAGTCCCGTGTCATCCTTGGTCCTCAGTTTCTCCATCTGTATAATGGGTAGATTTGCTCTTCTTTCAGATCTGTTATCCTAGATTATTCTGCCCTTTTTTTTTTTTTTTAACCATTTTCTCACGGGATTCTGACATGGCAGACATTCACCCAGCCTGGATGCTGGCCATTGTTTTGAGTTTTGTAGATGTCTAGTCCCTTTTCTGAGACGCTTTTTCCCATGCTTTATAGATTTCATCTCCTTTTTGTTTTGGAGTCAGTTATCTCACCCATTTATTACTTAAATCTCAGTGGTCATAACTGCTGTCATTACAGCCGTCCTCCAGCCAGCATCCCCTCTGGGCCATCACCATTGCTGCCACTGCCATGTATCCATCTTATTTCGTCCTTAGAAGAGCCTTTCAACATTATAGATACCACCTCCCCTGCCTCAGCCATGCAGTTCCCACAGAGAGAGGACTATGCCAAGGACCAGAGGCCAGAGGAGCAGGGCCCTTTAAGAGAATCTCACCCCAGTCCATTCCAGCCTTCCTAGTAAGCATCTTCCTCTTTCCAGCAGTGACATTTGCAACTTGGCATCTTATTTCAAAATCACATAAAAGAATAACCGTCTGGATAGATGCCCGCATGACATTGCAGGTTGCTCTGAGGGCTGTCGGCTCTCAGAACAGAAGGGAGTGTCCTCCTGCCTCAGCCCAAAGAGTAGTAACTGGGTCAGTCCTTTCACATCAGTGTGAAGAAGTCCGTTCGTGCTGCCTCTTCCCTTCCTAACCAGTTAACGTATTTGGTGAAGTCCCTCTTGGAAGAAGTATTAGCAACTTATAGTAAAATAAGGTACCTTACAAGTGAGGAGTTATAAAACCATAAAAACATCTCAAATTCCTATGTCTCAGGGCCGCACATGGCCTTTTCCAGCTTTACCCCAGCCAGTCCCTAAAGGGCAGGGAAAGTGCTTAGATTTTTTGATGGGCTTCTTAAGACAAGGCCAGGGCTCTGCCAAAACGAAGGAGCTGGGTCTCTTCAGGAGACATCTGATGCCCCTGAACTCCGCTCTCCCAGCACATTCCCACCTTCAAGGAACACTCACTCTGGCAAAGATGGGGAGGCAGGGACCCAGGTGGCAAAGCCCATGACTTTGACCGGGGCCTGTCCAGGCAGGGGAGGGAAGGAGGCATTCGGGCTGCACTTCGCAGAATAGGTTGGATTTAGATGGCCTTGAAAGACCAAGGGGTACACATAGCACGTGGTAGACTCTCAAGGAAGACCAGCTGACTGAATGGCCTCTCCACCACTGGGAGTTTCTTTAATTATAGCGGAACTATTTGCATGTAGAGGACTTCCCTTACGTTCTACATTTGGCCAGCTTGTTGCTCCGCTTTTTGTCGGTCAAGGTCCTTGGCACTTCGCTGTGCCCCTCTGTGGTGGCAGGGGGTGCCAGATCTGCCTCCCTGGAGCTTCTCTCTGATCAGAGGGGAATCAGGGTCAACTGGAAAGAGCGTGCTGGGCTTTCATGTGAAGCTGACCAAAGGTCAGACCCCAGCTCCAGCACTTGTTTATTGTGGGACCTTGGGCTGTTTTTTTTAACTTTCCTAAGGCTGTTTCTTCATGTGAACATAGGAATAACTCAACACGTTGGGTGGTTATGAGAAGTAAGCTAAGTGCCTGTGCAATATTGGGTACTTAAAAACCACTCACAGAAAGGGTGGGTGCTTCCATGTGACTGTCACTGGTGTCATTGGAGGTACACCCTGGAGCCATGAGGATGACGTTTCCCCTTCTTGCATAGCCCTGTCAATACCACACAGAAGTTCCACCATACATCCTTGAGGCCTCCCCATCTTTCGGCCAAACGCCCTTGTTCCCTTCCACCACCTTCCTCGGCAGAACCTGTCGTGATGTGGTTTCTGTCCTCAGAATGATGGTGCCCTCCTGTCCCTGTCTCATTAAGTGCTCTGCTCTACTGTGTGTAAGAACCACCTGAGACCCTGGATGTAGGAGCTTGGGGCACAGGAAGTGGAAAGGAAGGGAGGGAGGGAGGAAGAAAAGTGGCTGGACGGGGTGTGTGTGCACCCCCTCACCATGACCTCTTGATGGCTACGATTCTCATTCCTAGATGTTCTCTCCTGGGACACAGCATCCTTCCCTAAGGTCCCCATCAGGTACTGTGTCTTTGTTCCCCAGGGCCACCTCTGAAAGCAACGGGTGCCCTGACGCTCTGCCCTGTGGTCTGTCTCTCTTCTCCACTCCTAGTTTAAGGCAGCTTTCTGGGAGACAGCGACGTCAACACCAGGGCCTCCCGACCGCAGGCCCCGAGTCGTCACCTTTCCTGGTTTCTCTGTTGTTGTTGTTGTTATTGCTGTTTTTAGTGCAGGAGGGAGAGCAGCAGTTTTACTCATTGGCATGTGGGGATGGGCAGTGTGAAGCCAGGCAGGCAGCGGTGTTCCATGGCTGGGCGAGCTCATTTTCTTGCATCCCCTTCCCACAGGGCCAGAGAGGCGTGGCTTTGGTGCCCCCTTACTTTCCTCCGGCCTGGGCAGCTGGGGTCTCACCTAGTGTAACTTATTTTTTTCAGAACGCTCACGTCAAACGTCAACTGATGTGTTGTTTGTTTTGTTTTGTCTTTTTTTTTTTTTTTCCTGTGCCACAAAGGAAAAGAGAACAAGAACAAATGAATCAGTTTTTCTGGAATCATAAGCTGTGATTTCTTCATAAACTAATTTCGAGAATGGCTATTGAATTCCACAAACATTCCTGAGTGTTTACTGACCACCAAGGCCTGCCCTATAAAGGGGTGGAGGCCGAGATGCCAAAGATAGGGTCCCTGTCTTCAGAGGGCTTCCTCGGGAAGCCTGTGCTCAGACAGCCGTCATGTCCTGGGGGGAGCCTCATGTTCCGGATGGGTGTTAGTGTGCCTCGGCTGCCCAGGCATGCCCATAGTTCACAGCCCAGCCCAAGTCTCCCTCCTCCATGAAGTCTCCTTTGACTGCGTCAGGCATCAGTGAGTTCCCTACTCTCCAGACCCTGGATTCCTGCAGTCCTCTGCAGCCTGAATACAAGATGTTTCCCATCTGTCCTCTCCTCTTCCCGGCACCACAGCCTCCCGAGGCCCGTTGTATCACCCCCACATTAACAAATGAGACAGCTAGGATTTAAACAAGTCATTTTCCCAGGGTCACAGAGTTAATCAGCAGCAAAGCTGGAACTTGCACTTCGTGTCCGATTCCCACCTCAGGCCTCCTCCTCAGTGCAGAGCACTTTCTCTCCTCCATCATCTGACCCTGAGCGCCCCCTCTCTGGAGCCCCTGCAGCCCCTCCCATTTCATGTCCGCACTGGTTCCTCCCCTCTTGGTTTCAGTCACCTGCTATCACTCCTGGGGTGGGGGGCAGAGGCCCATCAGCTGGGTCCGGTCCCCTGCTGGCACAGGCGCTGAGTCAGGCTTGGTAGGGGAAGGAGGAGAGAACTTAGCCAGTGCCTCCCTCCTCCCCTCTCTCCCTGAGTCATCTGGAGGCAACAGAAACAAACAGAGCTTATGTGCCAGGTAATTGTGAGACTCAGTTTGTCTAATTATAGTTCACTTTGTCTTTCAGCCAGTGGAATAAAAACAGTATCTGAAGTCTTTCAGCTGTTCCCCTTTGGGTCAGCATCCCAGCCTGACACAGTACGTTTGCAGAACGTGCTAATAAGGGCGGGTTTTCAGCTCTCTCTCCTATGGTCGTTTACCAGCTGTGCCCCAAAGAGAAACACCTGTATGCTCCGCACTAGATCCTTTTGAGAATGAAGTGGTGTGCTGTTGACAATGACACCAGGACAGTGGGCCTGAAGTAGGGCACATGGTCACCGAGCTATAGACAAGATGCCTGCCTGCGATTGGAAGGAAAGGTGGAGTGGTTGTTTACAAAGGCTTCTCATGCGGAGTGGGTTGCTGGTGGATGAAGCGCCTCTGTTTCCAGCCATAACTTTGCATCATTCAGTGACTGTAAGAATGATCCACTACCTGTTTCTGCAATTTCCACTCATTTTCTGTCAGTGGCTGAGCCTCCCAGGATGTGTGTCTGTGTCTTATTGTTTTCTTTTTCTTTCCTCCAGAGATCCTGCGGATAATTCAGCTGGACCTAGACCTGAAGTACAAGACCAACATCCGGGAATTGTTTGAGGAGTTTGACAATTTCCTGCCAGGCGCCGTCATTGGCATAGCAAGAGAGATGCAGCCAGTATACAGGTATGTGGCAGCTGTAGGGGACGTGGCCTCCAGGACCCTCTCCACCCCTTGTCCCCTTCCCCTTTCCCGCTACCCACTTCAGACTGGGATTTATCGGTAGACAGTCTTTCTACACTTAATCTCTTAGAGACACATTTGTACTTACTGCCTGTCGTCAACAGTGCGGGCAGGTGGGTCCGCTCCAAAGCCGTAGATGCTGCCTCGTTCTTTTTGGGGAGTGTGTGACATTTTTCTTGTAGAAAGGGGAGCTGTTTTGGTTGTTGGTTGTGGTTAAGCTCAGAATTTTAAAATCTTGGGCTTTGCCTTACAGAGGGAGGTATCAGGATATGGCTTTAACTTGCCGGTCTGATGATGAACTAGGTTTTCTTGGCCTCTCGGTCACCAGTGACCGCTCCTCTGTTGAAGCAGAGTCTCAGTGTCTTGTAAGGAGGCAAAGGCAGCACAGCTCTGGAACACAGGTTGGCGTTCCCCGCTCACGGTGAAGAACGCATTCTGCGTCGTGCACGGCTTCATTGTCAAGCACGCGTTGTAGAGAAACCCCAGCGTCTGCGAACCGGGAGACATGTTCAAGAATATCCATTGCAGCATTGTGTGTGGTAGCCAAAAACTGAGAATGACTTAAATGCCATAGATAGCAGAATGGATAAATAAAATACCTTCATCTGAGTGAGTCCTACACAAAACCAAAAATGAGCACGTGGTACCTACGCACACTGCTAGGCAAAACTAAACTGTAATCTTCAGGGATGCGTACCATGTGGCCCAAATTATAAGGAAAACCAAGGAAATGCTGATCCCCAAAGCCAGCACAGCGTTCCGTCTGGAGAGGGTGGGGTGGGGGAGGGGTGGGGAGCAGGACGTGGGCGGAGGTTGCCTCTGGAGTGCCTCAGTGTGGTGTCAGTCCTCTGCCACGGGGGCCGTGCGCGGGGTTGCGCGTCATCCTGTGTGTGTACTATACATCTTACAGTTGAAACAAAGGCGAGGAGAGGCAAAAGCACGTACAAGTTTTCGTTAAAAACTAGACCCATGGTTCTGGATCCAGAGAGTTCCAGGTCACTGACTGATCCTCCTCTGGGCAGAGCCAGAGCACCCCCAGAACCGAGCTGCCTGGAGCGGGGATTTCACCGTCCCCTGGGCTGGCCCGCTCTTTGTTCTCTGCGCATCCCCTCCCGCTGGCTCCCTGTGGACATTCTTGGAGCCATGCCGCCTTTGGAGAGCTGCAGAGCACAGGCGACTGGTGACCCAAGAGCCCGTGCTTCCCCTAAAAGAGAGGGGAAGAGTGACAGCCTGCTTGCTTGTGGTTATTTGCAACACGCAGATCACATAACAGGAAATTCCTGCGAGGCCTCTGAGAGGGCTGATAACCCCTGGGCCTTGTGGGCTGTTCGCCCTGACGTCATCCTCTCCCACGGTGTCCCCCGCCCCCGCCCCATCACAAAGCAGGGCCTAGTACTCGGGGAGGCTTTGGGCAAACACTTGCCACTTCCAGCTCCTAGCAGCCTCCGGGCCTCATTCCCTCACCTTCGCGCAAGGTGTATCTTATGTCAGTGGTTCTCAATTTCACAACTGGAGGCGCTGGAAAGGAGCACTGAACTGAGAGTCCAAAGTCCTGTGTGCTCATCCCTGTGCACAGGGCCTGGGTTCCCCCATCTGAGAACAGGAGCAGTTGTGCTCCTAGACTTCCCGCCCCTGGCTCTGGCACTGGGATCCCTCTCTCCTGCCCCTCACCATTTCCTCAGTGTCTTTCCTCAGTCCTGAGGCTGCCTGTCTGCTGCGGGGGCGGGGGGGCTCCTCACTGCTCAGTAGGGGCCAGGGTCTCCTGGATACTTGTACCAGGCTCATTTTTAAATGCAGTCAGAGCAGTGATACCTTCAAGGCCTGATCTGGAATCTTCTCATGTAATATACATGGAAACGTGATCACATCTATATCGTTTTGGCCAGAATTTATGTTTTTTGTAGATCTAGGATTTTATTAACCGTGAAACTTAAATCAATTTAATTGTCTGGACTTCTCAAAAGAAATCTCTGAGAGATTTTAGATCCAAAACGAAATTGAATTTTTCTCACCTTCGGAGTCTTTAATTATCTGAGGAAAATCAGACCTCTGTGGCTGGGCTGCTGAAAGAGGCCCAAACTGCCCTGTCCTTAGGGCTCGTGCACTCAAATCAGCAGAAATGAAAACTCCTTTTGGTGCTCCCACCTTCCCCTTCCATTCCTCCCCAGCTGAAATGTTTATAAAGCCTCTAATAATTAAGTCTGCAAACGGCTGTCCTGCACGAATGTGCGCCCTACTGGCTCTGGGTAATTGCCTCTGAATATTTGCAGTCTCGTGCTGGGGCTGGGAATGGCTTGGTGCTGGCTGGGTGTGAGGGGTGGGGGGTGGAGTGTGGATTTTTTTTTTTTTTTTTTTTTTTTTTTTTTTTTTTGCTGTCTTCCACAAGAAAACTGGAGACTCCACTGCCCCCAAAGAGCAAGTGTTAGTTGTTTGCGCCTTTGGAGCCTGTGCCTGGGTGTGTGTGCTTGTGGGGAAGGAGTGGGAGAAGAAAGGGGGGAATGGAAGGGCGGCGCGTGAACTGCGTCCACACAAGGACGGATGGAACTGGGCCCTTCCCCTGGGCAGGCAGCCTCAGCCCCACTTGTCTGGACTTGGCCGTCACCCACCCCTGTGGGCACTTGCCACTTCCCTAGCCCTCCTCCAGGAACGAGGAGGTGGTGGGAGTTCCCACAACCACGTGGCCTCCCCAAGTGGCAGAGTGTGAGGTGGGCAAGGTTTTTGCCATAAGCAAAATCAGCTAGCGTCTATGAAGAGAAAGGAAAATTTAGAAGCAAAACAGCACAAAAGCAAAACTGGACTGATTAACCAAGTATGTTTTTGATCTGGAAATTCACTAAGCAGAAATAAATTTGGATCTCCTCAACTGTGTTATTTTTATAGTCACTTGTCTGACAGTTACTGTACTTCAAAAGGGCACATCTTAAGTCATTTTTATGGTTGTTTCCCCTCTATTGTGTGCCATGAACGTTAGAAGCTTGGAGGAGAGGGGAGGGAAATGTATTTCTCACTATTCATTTGACAAATAGCTGTTTTGTTTTGCTTTGTTTTTCAGTTCTCCCGCTGCCCCAAATATACATTAACCCCACCATGTGTTCTGGAAAATGATGGATTGTGGGATGCTAGGATGGCGATAGAGGAACCTTTTCCTCCAGGGTCCCCGTCAGGATTCTGTTGAGTCAGATGTTCCATGACCCTTCTCACCTGAAAGTTGGGGAGTCGTGGCCATTTTGGGTGGAACAGTCCTGCCCTGACCCTTTCTCTGCCACTTTGTCAAGAGAACTAGACTGCCGGACAGGTCCTCATGGGTGATGCGTTTAGTTGGGATACATGGCCAAGCTTTCTCTGTCAACAGAATGGTCTCTGTAAATAGACAACTGTATTTTGCAAATATGTGTTAGTCCAGGATGCCATTTTGAATTTGCTTCCTGATGAATGTATTCGAAGAGTAAAGAAAACTGTTGGACCCTCTTTATGGACAGCCCATAAAAATTACAAGTGAGTATCAGCAGGCAGAGCCGCTTGACGTGGAAGAAAAAGCATTCGGGTTATACTCAGAAGCTCTGGATTATAGTCCCTGCCTTTCATGAATTATCCACGTGATGCTTTGCAAGCTACTGGATGCTCTGACCCTCTGTTTTGTTTTCAATCTGTAAGTAGGGATACGTATATCTCCGGAATTACCAAAAACTCAAATGGAACAACATGCATGAAAGTTTCTGGAGTGAGAGAGGCCCTCAGTCAAGGGCACTTGCTCACCCTCCTCCCTCAGTCCTCACCACGCCTTTGTGTGTTTTCAAGGCGATTTCTTCTACGGGATACCCTCGCTCTACCCCACCCCTACCTTGCAGGGATACTAGTTAAAACACGCGACGCTCACTTAAGTTGGATTTCAGATAAACAAATAATTGTCTTGTGTACGTATGCCCCACATATTGCATGGGGACACATGTACACAAAACAACTATTTGTTGTTTATATGAAATTTAAATTAACTGGATGCCCTGTTTTTTGTTTGCTTGCTTGTTTGTTTCACTAAACCTGGCGGCTCTACCCCTACCCAAGAGTGAGAACCTTCTCTTTTTAGCAGAAGGGGGTGATCTGGCTTTTCTACAAAATCCTCGAGTGAGCAGGAACAAAGTGTTACAGGAGTGGGAGCTTGTGAGGAAAACAGGGTAAGTGAGGGATGGAAGAAGGCAGCTCTCAAAGTCTCCGTGAGGCACCAGGCCTGAGGTCACCACCCCACAGGAGTTAGATGCCTGCTTGTGATTTGGGCCCTTTGGGGAGGTCGCTGGAGCTAGGAGGCCTGGCAGTGGTTTAGCTTCAGGCCACAGGGTTCCTGCTGAGCTTGGAATGAGTGTATGAGAGAGAGAGACACAGAGAATGTGTGTGAGAGAGAATGTGTGTGTGGTGTGAGAGAGAGAGACAAATAATATGTGTGTGAGAGAGAGAATGTGTCTGACAGAATGTGTGTGTGAGAAAAAATGTGTATGACAGAGAGAGAGAGAGACAGAGAGAGAGAGAGAGAGAGAGAGAGAGAGAGAGAGAGAGAGAGAGTGTGTGTGTGTGTGTGTGTGTGTGTGTGTGTGTGTAGCTGGGGTCACAGCCCTTGGTTATGGTCTTTCTGTCTTGGAGCTGGCCACCTGAGGAGCTGATGAATGGGAGCTTTGTTGGTGGGGGACACTGGCTTCCGGTTCATTCTCTGTTGGCTCCACAGGCCAGCTGTGTGCTTGTTTGAGCCCAAACCCACCATGAGATGGAAGCAGCAGGCTAATCCTGTCAGCTGCTGATAAGGCACCACCAGGCAGGAATTTGCTTTTGTGTTAAGTATTTTAATAGTGTCCACTCTTTCACCTTTTTAGGTCACATGGTTTTAATTGATAGCATCTGTGCCAGCCTCGCCTCCTTCCAGATGCTGGAGTGGAAATGTCCAGTTAATCTGCAGG